CACAGAGCTGCTGCTCTGAACCCAGCCACTGAAYGAGGGACAMATGCAARGTTTCAGGGAGCCCTTCTTGCATCYTCYGTGTGTGATTTTTGTGTTGCTGACAGCCTGCAAGGGTACAAACCCTATTCTCTTCTTGTTGTGCAGCTGCCCTCCCACAGCACTGCTGCTGCTGAGGGCTCAGTCCTTCCCAGCATCCTGCTATAACCAGACTTTAACGTCAAAGCAAGATTAAGAGATATGGAAGGAAAATCCCATGCATTAATGCATGAAACCCTCTCAGCTGCTATTGGCAGGGCCAAACTGACTGAAATTGCTGAGGAAACCCCCAGCATTCTCTGAAATGTGACACCTAAAGGCAAGCTGAATTCATGCTTGTGCTGTCAAATGCCAAACAGGGGATTAGAGTCTTTGCAGCAATATTGCCCTGGAACTACCCCTCCTACTGCCCAGGGCAGAGGTAGGAGGAGGCAGAAGAACCCAGGAGTCAGTCTGCAGTAAGGCTTGTCTCCACTTCTGTTCACTGCCTCTCCTGGGTGACAAGCTCCAGCAACCTTGGCTCTGCCACTGATCTATGTGGGCATCAGGACAAGCCCAATCCTCTCYATGTGCTGCCCTGCCTGCAGCAGCCCCAAAATCCTGACACCTGCTACTGCCAAGTGCCTGATGTCCAGCTGTGTGTGGCTAAATCTGCTCAGTTGAGAGGAGGCATGATGAAAATGAGCAACTCGTGCTTCACTATCATCAGGCACTGTTTCAGTACACCAGCCAAGGAATTTGTGGCACTGTTCCATGCACAGGTCTCTGTTTTTCCATCCATCCCATGACAGTCCCACAGACCACCGAGCAGGAATTGGGCACCTTACCTTGCACAGGACAGGAACTGCATCCTCTGATCACCCCGGTCTTGTTTGCCTTGGTGGTTGTCCACTGGTAGATGAACAGGATGGTGCGGGATGGGCCAGCATCCAGAACAATGCCATACTGAAAAAACCCAAAATATTCTGCTGAAGAACACCACTGAATACATGCTGGTGGATATGGTAGGGTTAATCAGTGTACATAGGTATTCTGGGTGACCCCTGGGCCTGCACTGCACTATGTGAGTTTGCTTTTTATGTTCAAAGAGAAGGCGAAGCCAGARGATGATGAGGATTTGCAGGGAACCATCTGCATTTCTGAATATACATGAGGAACAGCAGGAATGCAGAAACGCCCAGAAATACATSAGCCCTACACCAGCATGTGCTGGAGCTGCTCCTGAAACCGAGCAGAGGGCTTCCTGGAGAGCTGAGCCACCTGGAGCTCAGGAAAAACAGGTCCTAAAGCAGTGGGAGATGGCCCCATGTAAGTTCTCCACTGATTCTGGGACTCAAACTGCTGCTGATTGGTTTGCTCAGGCTTTTGTGCAGGAACTGGAGTGCTGCAGCTTGCTCCTCYTTCTGAGGAACCCAGCACTCCCGTGTCTTTTCGGTGTCCCCCTGCAGCGCTGGTGTGACACGGGCTGGGTTTGCCCCAATGTGTGCAGAGCTGCAGGAGCTGTGGCAGCCAGCACAGACACTGCACAGCACAGCAGCCCCACAGAGGCAGAGATGATGTCTTGGCAGAGAGAGCAGCAGCAGTGAACATGAGCACCTCAGCACCTCAGCCCCTGACAGCTCTGCTATCRCCCAGGCCAAAGCTCTCTGTCTCTGCCCCCATGATTTGTCTGTTTGCTGCTGACCAAGCCTTGCTGCTCCCAGTACACAAGGGTGAGCAAGTGGAGGCCCCTGGAGAACCCTGAAGCACAGTCCTGGATGTGCCTACAACCAAAATAACCCCAGAACCAGCCTAGGGCTCTCTCCCCCCTATTACATGACCCAAAATTGGGACATATCCTACACAGACAGGAAGGAAACTCATGAGCTACATGGCAGTGCGTGGTCGAAGCTGTATCTCACACACAAATAGTCAGAGCTGTGACTGAGTGGGAGGAAAAACCTCCTGAGAGGTTGATGTTAATGCCACCAGAAGGGCTTCAGCACCAGACAGAGCCGGCTGCAGCTTCTGAACAAAGCTGGCTGCCTGCTGCCCCCCTGGAGCTCCCAGTTGCACCAGTCCTGGTGCCCAGGCCAGGGGCTGACAGGGCTGGGCTGGAGCAGAAATGCGGAAGGAGGATGGAGCTCCCTGCCCGAGCCTGCTGGCACCCACCCACACCAGTGACAGCTCAGATTTCTAGCAGGGACATGTTGGCTGCCGCAGAAGAGGAAGGAAGGGATGGCGCTGGTGGAGGATTTTTTTCCTCCTTCAGAAAATGAGAGGCTGCTGCTGGGAGCACAGGGCAGAAAGGAAGGGATCACCACATTTGTGCCCAGCTCAACACCAGCAAAGGACAGAATGWGGAGCAGTAAGGGGATTTTCAATCCAATTTTGTTTTGGAGAGGGACATGGAGGAGGGGTGCTATCTCTRAACACACAGGATAACCTTCTTGTGTTGGGTTAAACCATGGTGTGCCACTGAGCTCACCTCAGCAGCGGGGACATCAAGAGACAGAGGTGGGCATTAACCCCCCAGAGCTGTGGGCATTGACCCCTGAACCTGTGGGCATTGACCCACTAGACTGGTGGACTTTAATCCCCCAGAGCTGTGGACACTGACCCCCGAGAGCTGTGGGCATTGACCCCCCAGAGCTGTGGCCATTGACCCCCTCCAGACCTGACCCTGCTGCCTAGAGCATGCTGGCTCTTTGAAATCAAGATAGGACCACAGAGAACACATGAAAAACAATTTGTTTTTAGACAGAAACAGCAGTTCAGGGTGACACTCCTGCTGACTTCTGAGAGAAGCCTAGCTCTCCCTGCAGTGACACCACTGGTTCCTTGCTGCTCTGGGGTAACTCCTGACATGAGCTGCCTCCCCTCAGCCTGCCTTGAGCATCTCTAGTGATCCATGGACCATATTCCAGCCTGTTTTCCCTGAGCAACCAACGGGCTTGGCTTGTTTCTGGTTCAAAAATCTACAGCATGTTGAAAGATCCAACCTTGCTCCAGTCCCCTCCTGGGTTTGTAATTGCTCATTAATAAAATGAATTGTCAAAAGCAACAAAACAGCCCAGTTTAACTGCTCATCTCACCCCTCAAGAGCCCTTACCTTGGTCCTGAGAGGGGCCAGGGGCACATCTTTGGTGGAGACACAGAGCAGCACTATGCCAGTCAGACCCGCTACAATCACCAGCCAGGGGGGCAGGAGCTCACGCCAAGACATGAAGAGCTTTCTCCTTTCACAAAAGAGGAAGCAGTGGAGCAGCAAGCTGACAGCRGCTGCTTTAACAACCTTTAAAAAGAGCAGAAAGGCGTGGCCGGGGCCAGGCTCTGACTTCAGCCCAGCCCCAAGCCACAGGGACCACAAGGACGCGTGGGCCCGGCTGGGATGCGTCAGGAGCTCTCCCTTCCAGCCCGCTGTCCATAAATAACAGGAGGGCTCTGTGCCCGTCCCGGTGCGAGCTCTGCAACCTCGAAACTGCCCCAGGCAGCGGGGCTGAGCTAAACACAAGAGTGGGGTTAACTCAGCTGTTTAATAAGCAGAAAGCAGGCAAAGCTCATCCCTTTGGTATTCCACAGCTGGCAGTGTGAGTTTCCAAATTCAAAGTGGGGAAACTCCTTGTCACTGGGTTTATTTGATATCTGAGGGCTCCAGGGTGGGCTGGGTGCTTCTCCTGAGGTCCACTGGGTTGGAGCAGAGGACAGGGACACTGCCTGGTCCTTCCAACTGTACCTGCCTCCTTGGCACTTTCAGGTGGCACTGGGACACAAAAACGTGGATGTCTGGGTTTCCACTCACAGCACACTGTGGCTGGCTTGGTCCTTGCTGTGGGTAGGGGACAGCAGGGGCTGCTCTTTGTGTCAGCCTTCTGGGGTGCCTGAACCCCCTTCCTGAGAGCTTCTCTGTGGAGGATAACCAAGGCTCACTTTATGAAACACACACCTGCTTTCTCCTGATGGTGCCACGAAGTCACATCCCTGAAAATGGAAATTCTGAATAAAACTGTATGACTGCTTGCACYGAGACAATTGGTTGATTACTCATGTCCACAGATTGGTCATGGATCTGAAGATCAAATCAGGAATGGAGAAAGGCCACTTCTCTGTTTTTTTGGTGGCGTTTCCTTTTTTCATCACTGTCTGCCACGAACAAGCCAGAAGGGAAGCCTCAGAAACCCCCAGCTTTGCTGCTCTTATAATGCTGTTGGCCAGAGCATGGAAACACAGAATCACAAAATCTCCTGAGCTAGAAGTGACCCACAAGGATCATCCAGTCCAACCCCTGGCCTTGCACAGGATCCCGCCCAAATGATCCCAGCATGTGGGAGCTCCTGGAACAGGTCCAGTGGAGATCTCTGAAGCTGGTCATGGTCCTGGAGAATCTCTCTTACCAGGACAGGCTGAGGGAGCTGGGCCTGAGAGGCACTCTCATCAATGTGTATGAATATCTGAAGGGTGTCAGGGCACTGACCAGGCTCTGCTTGGCAGCGTCCAGCAGTGGCCCAAGTGGCACCAACTCATGCCCAGGAAGTTCCACCTGAACATGGGCAAGAATTTCTTTCCTGTGTGGGTGACTGAGCACTGAACAGGCTGCCTGGAGAGGGTGTGGAGTTTCCCTCACKGGASATATTCCAGARCCATYAAGACACAATCCTGTGCCAGGTGCTCTGGGATGACKGTGCTTGGGAAGGGAGATGGGACCAGATGACCCCCATGGTCCCTTCCAACCCGACCATTCTGTGATTCCRTGCGCCTGAGAGCGCTGTCCAAAGGCTCCCCGAGCCCTGTCCGCCCTGCCCGGTGCTGGGCCGAGTGGCACCGAGCTCCCCGGGCCGCGGTGGCCGCGGTGGCCGCGCTCGGAGCCYGGGGACAGSCGGGGACAGCCACCGGGAACCTTCGTGCGGCGGAACCTTGGTGCTGCGGCGCGGGGCCCGCGCACGGCGGGGGCGGGCTGGGGGCGGACCGCGCGGAGCCGGGGCGGGAGCTGAGGCGGGATCGGGGCCGGGATCTGGATCGGGATCGGGAACGGGAACGGAGCCGGGATCGGGATCGGGAACGGAGCCGGGATCGGGATCGGGAACGGAGCCGGGATCAGGATCGAGACCTGGAACGGGGCCGGGATCAGGAGCAGGAGCTGAGCCGGGAGCGGCCCCGCGACCCTGGCCAGGCCGAGATGTACGCGGGGCTGCAGGAGCTGGGAGTGGCCAATGGCGAGGACCTCAAGGAGACCCTCACGAACTGCACGGAGCCTCTGAAGGCCATCGAGCAGTTCCAGGTGCGGGAGATGCCGTGTGGGGCCGGGCTATGTGGGGACAGTGAGCGTGGGACGGCCCCGAGTGCTGTCTGGATTTTTCCCCCTTTTTATTTGTTATCCAACGTGCCGTTCTGAGTCCCCGCTGCGGTTGTGTTGCAGACGGAGAACGGGGTGCTGCTGCCCTCGCTGCAGTATGCCCTGCCCTTCCTGGACCTGCACGGCACCCCCCGGCTCGAGTTCCACCAGTCCGTGTTCGATGAGCTGCGGGAAAAGCTGCTCGAGAGGGTCTCTGCCATCGCTCTGGAGGGRAAGGTCGAGGAGAGGTTTGTCAGCAGTCTTATTTGTTTCTTGGAGTGAATTGGGAATTCTGTGTGGAAATAAAGTGGATGGGTGACTTCTGCAAAGRAGGGTTGGGTTCTTCAAGGACTGAGTTCCACTGGCTTTGAGAGGAGACACTGTGTTCCTTTACTGCTCCAGGGTACTTAGTGTCATGCTTTTGGTGTTTTCAGATACAAGAAGCTGGAAGATCTCCTAGAGAAGAGCTTTTCCCTGGTCAAGATGCCCTCAATACAGCCTGTGGTCATGTGTGTCATGAAGCACTTGCCCAAGGTAGGATCCCTGCACTGTTGTCCTGTGGTGTGACATGGTGTGTTACTGGTGTGACATCTCTGCTGTGGCTCTGGCTGGTGGGCTGTGCCCTCTCTGCTCCTTCTGAAAGTGTGTTATTTAGTATCAGGGGCTGACTGAAGTTTTAATACATTCTTTTGTCTGCTAATAACTCAGTGRACTAATTCAAAAAGCTTTTTACATTTTTATAATCAGGTGAGACTATTTTCCTATTTTCTTCAATTCATGCAGCTTCCTAAAAGCAGTCAAATACACTGACAGGTGAATTTTTCCACAGCTGATTTACAAATCTATGACAAGGGGAAGGTAAAACTTGAAGAGTGCAATTAGAAGTAGGCAGGAGGGAAATTCAGGTCTGTGAAACAAAAATCTCTAGGACTGCCCTTACTAAAAACATTGTATTGCACTTAGGGTAATGGATTCAAAACACTACAGGAACTTAAATAAATTAAGGAGTTTGGAAACATCACCTCAAATCTCAGCACTGTAGATTTAAAGTAAATCTATTTTCTTTGTAAGAAATAAGGAGGACCTTGGGGTGTGATTTGGTGTTTGAAGAAATGTCTTAGGGCTGGCTTCCTGCTAGAGGGAAAGGTAAAAGCCAAACCTGTGATACTGCTGGGGCTTTATTGTCCTGATAGATAAATGCCCAGGCTGCCTGAGGTGGGATCAGGGGATGGAGGGGATTGTCCTGCTCTGCTCTGGGACRGCCTCACCCTSAGTCMTGGRAGCARTTTGGGCATCACAGTATAAGAAAYATCTAAAGCTGCTGGAGAATGTTGAAAGGATGGTGAAGGGCCTGGAAGAGCCGTGTGAGGAGCATCTGAGGGYACTGGGATTGTTCAGCTGGAGCAGAGACTGAGGGGAGACCTTCCCAGGGCTGCAGCTCCTCCCGAGGGGCAGCTCCGATCTCTGCTCTGGGACAGGGACWGGARCCAGGGAACGGCTGGAGCTGGGYCAGGRCAGGCTCAGGCTGGAGAGCAGGGAAAGGTTCTTGTGTCCCCAGAGGGTGCTGGCACTGCCCAGGCTCCCCAGGGAATGGTCCCGGCCCCGAGGCTGCCAGAGCTCCAGGAGYGTTTGGACAGCGCTGCCAGGGATGGACAGGGTGGGGCTGTTGGGGGGTCTGGGCAGGGACTGGGCTGGGTTTGATGATCCTTGTGGGTCCCTCCCAGCTCAGGATATTCAGTGATTCTGTGATTGAGATCTCTCCTGTAGTCAGTTATGGGTTACAGGGTCGGTGGGCAGGTGAGGTGCTGTGCACTGTGTAACTGCTCTGTGGACTGCAGGTCCCTGAGAAGAAGCTGAAGTTGGTGATGGCTGATAAGGACCTGTACAAAGCCTGTGCTGTGGAGGTGAAGAGGCAGATCTGGCAGGACAACCAGGCTCTCTTTGGGGATGAGGTGTCRCCCCTACTGAAGCAATACATCCTGGAGAAGGAGAACATTCTCTTCAGCAATGATATTTCCTTCTTGCAAAATTTCTTCAGTCCGTCTCCCAAAACGAGACGTCAAGGAGAGGTAAGGACAAGGGAACTCACARTGTGCTGGTGAGGGGAATTTTATCAACTTTCAGTCAACCATAACATAACAGGCTGTTTTCTCCTGCCCACCTTTGCTGCTGAAGTTGTTTAGCTGGACAAAGTCTTTGCAAGAAACACCAGGCCACTTTCTTCCACACATCTTAATTAAAGCAGCAGGAATTATTTTAATAGTTGTGTAATAATTGATGGATGTTCTAAGTTGTTGATACACTTCAAAAAAAATAAGCAAGGCCAGATTTTTTTCTCTGTTGTTCAGTCTGGCTTTAATCACCTCAGCTGTTCTGAAGGCTGAGCATCTCTATCACATCAGTTTGATTATGCTGATATGTTGAATTTGCTTTCTTGGGACTTTTTTTTAGTGGACATAGCTCAACAGAAGTTGCTTTTTTGTTGTAAAAATGGAAAAGGGTGTGAAAAGATGTAGTTAATTGGCTTCCAGAAAAGTTGCTCTTTGAGTGGAATTAACTATAAGGCAGTATAAAGCTTTAATTTCAGAGAGGGTAGCTCATCTGTTACATGAGGGGTGGTTTTAGGCYTGTTTTGCTTTCAAAATCATTTACTATAAATGCCCTGGTGCATTTTACTCCAGGTTTGYACTGCAGAGTTGTGCTTTAACCCCAGCTGGGCACTCAGGACCACACATCCACTTGGTCACTTCCTCTGAGGGGATGGGGGGAGAATCAGAAGGGTAAAAGAAACTTGTGGGTTGACATAAATATGTACTATGGCTGTTGAAGATCTGACGAGTGTCTCTTGAACAAATGTTATTGAAAAGCTTGGTATAAATAGTTCCTTTTCAGGACCTCATGCCAGCAGATGCTTCAGTCTTGGTAAATCATGTAACATAATTAATTGACATTTTGTTTGTGTGTGTGAAATGAGAGCATCTGTTGGTACTTAGCCCATGTTTTCCCCTGTGAGCWCAGGTGGTGCAGAAGCTGACCCAGATGATTGGGAAGAACGTGAAGCTCTATGATATGGTGCTGCAGTTCCTGAGGACATTGTTCCTTCGCACCAGGAATGTCCATTACTGCACGCTGAGGGCAGAGCTCCTGATGTCAYTGCACGACCTGGAGATCAGTGAGATCTGCACTGTTGACCCCTGTCACAAGGTACCAGTCATGTGGCACAGATGGGGATATTACTGGAGAATTTTCTGGAAAAAGCCCAGAGAAGATGGGTCCTTTCTGTAAAGAGAGTTCAGACCTTGAACCTAAATGTCATCTTGTATTTCTTGAAACTTCAGGTGAAAATTTCACCTTGGTTAACCAGCAGTTAACCATGAATGCTTTCATTTCATAATCCCTGAACTATTCAAATTTAGGGTATTTTGGTAGTGTTAAAAGCAATGTCTAATCTGACATCTAATCTATGTACATGCTGCAAAAATTATAAAAACCATCAGCTAGCCCCAGGTTCATACTCCAGGCTTCCSTCCCAGCTGTGGATATGCTCCATCTGTCAGTAAACTGTGTGTGTAAATACTTTGGTTGTTGAATTATAAGAAAACAGGAAACTATTCAAATATTGGGAAGTAATGGATGTGTTAATGGCACAGCAGGATCTTGTTAGTGGCCCCTTTCCATGGTTAGCATCACTCTGAGCTGGACCAAGGCTTTTTCTCTGAAGCAGTTAYTAAGTTTTACATACATTTTGCTTTAAAAATATTTCAGTAATACAGCTCAAAAGCAGAAGCACCTCCACTGTCAGTATCCCCTTATTTAGATGGTGGGAGAGCAATTGCAATGACCAAAACAAACCAAATTTTTATGTCTAAGTGATGCTGCTTCTTTCTCTCCTACTTGTGTAAATCAACAGATATGCAGGGCAGTGGTATATTTAATAAATGCCTGCTCCTTAATTGCCAGGGAATGCCTTTCCTGGAAGGGAAGAAAGTGACCCCAGGTTAACTTTCGTGGGCATTTCTGACCTCCTTTTGGGATACTGGCATTCCTGACCTCCTCTGTGTTTGGGACCAGCGTGGTACCATGCCTAAGTGCATTAATGAAGCATCTTAATTTGAGATATTTGAAGGTTATTCTGAGCCTTTTTTTTCACTGTCACGTGTTCTGTTGCTGGTTTACTGAGTTCATAAAGCTATCTCTGTTTGGTGACAGTTCACCTGGTGCCTTGATGCCTGCATTCGGGAGAAGTTCGTGGACAACAAGAGAGCTCGGGAGCTGCAGGGGTTCCTGGATGGAGTGAAGAAAGGACAGGAACAAGTGTTGGGGTGAGGCACTTGTGCTGTTTATTGAGAAACTGAAAGTGGGTTCCTGGCACTCACAGCATCTGACAGATGCTGTGGGGGTTCATTCTTCCCTAAAGCCAGCAAGTCTTCAGCAGCTCCTCTGCGCAGCCACATCCCAAATATCCATCAATGCTCTGGGGCACAGCCGAGCACATCCAGGGGGCAGAGCTCAGTGCTTTACTTGCCACTCTGGAGTCTCCCCTGTGGCCTGRTAACTAAATTCAAGGGCCTTTKTTAGAGAGTCAGAATAACCTGTTAKGARTGTCTTGTYTGGCATTAAAGAAAATGGGCTGGTGAAGTTTGTCAGTTAATGCACTTCATTAGCTTCAATTGATACCCCTACTGTGATCTGGTACAGTTACTTTTCTGGAAGTGTCCTCAGAGGATTTTATTTAGTTGGTAYTTTCAGATTTTATCCATCAGTGTTTTAAATTATTTGAGATTTCACTTTTACCTGTTATTTTTCAAAAGCCTCTGAGAYCTTTCTGTCCTCAGCACTCTGAGATGGTCAGAACCTGCCATCTCAAAGTGCTGGGGCCACCAGAGTTCTGCTGCCTGGGGGCTGTCTCCTGCTCTCTTCAAGTGGCTATGGGAGATCTTGTGCTTGATCTCCTTGGAGAAGGCTTTTAGCACTTGTTTTTTGTGCTCTTTTAAGTCAAAACCACCATGAATGTGATTTGTTAACAAGGCAGGAGAAGGTTCATCAGGTGCACATGGCTGAGTGTGAACCTGTACAACAGAATTGTTTGTTATGCATGACCAGTGTTTGATTTTTACTTCTCAGGGACTTATCAATGATCCTGTGTGATCCCTTTGCCATTAACACCTTAGCCTTGAGCACCATAAGGCACCTGCAAGACCTGGTTGGGCAGGACACCTTACCCAGGGTAAGCATTGCAGCTCGTGTACCTCACCTGAACTGTAGCCTTTGCTGACTGACAGCCATCAGGGAAGGACTGGCACTGTACAAGTCTCATTAAGTTCTCAGATGAGTCAGTTGGAACAAGGGAAACATGATTCTTGTTCATTTGCTGTACAGCTCTGCAGGAGCTGTGTGAACAAGGGCATTTTGGAACTCTTCAAACTGACCATGAATTCTTTGCATGGCTCATTCTACCCTGGCAGCTGTGCACATATAGAATAATCTGTAGAATATGTGCCTCCCTGCTTTGTCTTTCCATCAGTTTGTCTGACAGCAGCACCTTTCTCCCTGCCATGGTGAATGCCATGGATTTGTTTGCACTGTTCTGGTCTGGTGGCTCAGATAAAACACAGTTCCTGCAAGTGGAGTCTGCAGGAGGTGCTGAAGTGTTRAAGGAGGCACCCTGACAGGTGCCTGAACAGTGTGAGGCACTTGCTGGGTTTATCCCTGAGTTGTTAAATGCTACTGTTGTGTGGAATAACTTCCTTGTGACAGTTACAGACTGAAAATTGTGTGGGTTTCAGGATACAATATAAACAAAAAACCCATTGTCATTCTTACACACCCTTTCTTCTTTCTTTTGCTGAGATGGCTTAATTTATCCTGTCAAACATTATATTTTAGTGCATTAATTGGGCTGGACCCATTTTAAAAAGATGTGATCAGATAGTTGCAAACTTCCTGGTGCATTATGAATTTACAAGCCCCCACAAACCCTTAGGTGTGTCAGTTATCTGATTCCCATTTGAGGATCAGTTTTCAATTAACTCGAAGAACTGAATGCCTTTAGCAGTCTTGGATAAAGCTGAAWATCCAGAACAGTTTTGAATACAAAYCACTTRTTCCAAATAAATATCTCATGTGGAAGATCAAACCAGCTGTTTTTCTTCTCYCCTTAAAATTTGAGGAAAGCCCAGATCTGCTGCTGCTCCTTAGGATGCTGTCTTTGGGACAGGGGGCCTGGGACATGATTGACAGCCAAGTCTTCAAGGAACCAAAAATGGTGAGCTATTTTATGTTTAGAATTTAATACAATTTATCAAATTTAGTATTGTTCATTATTTTATTGCATTCCTGATTTAACATTCATTCTGGAAACCTCTTGTCAGAGCTTTCTTGGGAAAAAAATATGGCAGTGGTCACCGAGCAGCTCCAGTGGACATGCTGTGAGCTTCCTTTTCCTGCTTTTTTATTTCCATGAGTGCCTTACTGTTCTAAAAATAACCTCTGTCAAATCCTGCACTGGTTGCTCATTGCTCTCTCATTATTCCTGGGGTCTTGTACACAGCTGATGAGTTTGTAGAACACGTCTTGCATGAGGAAGGCAGGCTTTCCAGGACTGGTCTCAAAMTCTGGTAGCAGATTAGAAGCTTTTCATCATGTTTTCCCCTCCCAACTCTGTTACAGCAGTTCTGTGTAGTGCCACATTTAGCTATAATCATTCCATGCTTTGGGAATACTTTCCCAGTATTACAGGTGTAGTTCAGCTGAGGGCAGGAGAACCAACCCTGGTCCTGCACAGCAGGGCTGTTCCTCAAGAGGAATTTGCTCTTTCTGTTCTGAGCTGTAAAGCAGTAAAAGTTTACCTAGGGGCACATTTCAGGTCTCCAAAATCCATCTATTCCTGGCTGCTGGCATGTTTAAATTCACCACAGGGAGGGTGGGCATTAACACTGGCACTGTAGCAGTGAGAGTGGCCAGTAATTTTGAAGGTAGGACTGTGATTTGTGTTCTCATGAACCTTTTAGCCAAAATGCTCAGTTTCTTTCTAAAGGGAATCTCCAATTTTGTATTTAAAATCTGATGTATCTGTGGTTGTGTTGCCACAAATAAGCCTGGGCCGTGCTGGGAGTCTGTAATTATTGATAACAGCACTTTGGTGTCGTTCTGAACACATCCCATGCCTGCAGCAGTGCTGGGAAGAGCCTSTTAGAAGAAATGTTACATAATTGTCCAAAGAAAGGGATGGAGCAGGAGAAGTTCTGTAGCTGAGATGAAGTACAGTTTTCCTAATTACCATGGAACATGTGGAAGTGAATTATTCAAGAATTTTGACTGGAACTGGATGTGTGAAGCTGGTTTTCCTCARTGCCTCACTATTTGTCACAGCACTCCAGGACCATTAGGTGGCATAAAGTGACTGATGATGGCTCTATTCTCTTCCCTCTGTCCTTGCCTCCCTCCAAGGAAGCTGAGCTGATCACCAGGTTCCTGCCCCTGCTGATGTCCTTTGTGGTGGATGACCACACCTTCACTGTGGATCAGAAGCTGCCCTCAGAGGAGAAGGGACCAATCCCCTACCCCAGCACCATTCCTGAGGCTTTCACCAAGTAGGTACCTGGCCCCATCCACTGCATGGTCTGGAGCCAGGGAAAAACACTGCCTGTGCTAAAGGCTTCTTGGGATGAGATTCTGTGCTAATTCATCAAGTCTGAACTTCCCCTTTAGCAGAACAGGTATCCATTGTGTTTTCTCAAATAAAATGCATCAACATAAAATGATATTTCTTACAATGACCATTCTTTTGGCAGATTCAATGTGAAAATATCTGGTGTTTCTGTTCAGTTTCCCAGGCAGCAAATGCTGAGTTTTGGGTGGTATTTAGGTGCAGCTGGACRTGTGCCCATGCTGGGTTCTGAAGAGCACTACTGGAAATCACAACCAACCTTTCTCTGTTAATATCCTGTCTCTCCGGGAATGTCAGAAGGATAATTAAAACCTCTGTGTGCTCTGTTTTATTCAGATTTTGCACTTATTTCCAGCACAATTCTTGTCTGYGTGCCAGAATCTGAGATACTGGCTGCTGGTAATTGTGCTCTCCTCTATGACAGTGTTGATAATTTGACTATTGGGAGACTAAAACAGTATTGGAGTTTGCATAATTTTTGAGTATTTGGGCTTCTTCTCAACCCATTTTGAACAGCACTTTTATCATTAATCAATTATAAATGTTCACAGCTTTACCCAGCTGTGTTCAGTTTTGCTGGAGTRTGGTAGTGAACACAGGGATGATCCATCTGCTCAGTCACTGAGTAGCTGCTCTTTAGAGGACTTGAGCTTAGCCACTGCTCAACAGGCTTCATAACTATACCCAAAGTATTTTAAACCTCTTAAAAAATCTTTGAATTAAAAAAAGAAATCTGGTTTAGCTTTATTGATGAAGGAATTTTGCTTGTGCCGTAACAGATTCCTGCAGGAGAACAGAATAGCTTGTGAGATTGGGCTGTATTACATCCTTCACATCACCAAACAGAGGAACAAGAATGCTTTCCTTAGGCTCCTGCCAGCACTAGGTGAGTTTTGTCTCATCTTCTCTTCTATGACTATTTGCCTTGTATTGGACACTAAAACTGAAGTGAAAGAGATTTCAGAGCCATACAAAATGAACCTTTGGCTTGTCTGGTGACTCAGTGAGTCCTTGCAGAAGTGTTTGGGTTTGTTTGCAATTTTCTGCTCATCTGAGAGTTTAAGGACAGTGGCTGAGGGTCAGTAGTTCCTTACATCAAGGGCTCCATTAACAATGAGATTGGTTGAGAACTGTTTGGAATAAATCTGAAAGATAAAATAGCATGGGGCTTGATTCTGCTACTGCCCAGGGTGATTGCTGTCCCAGAATTTACTGGGACTTGGCTTTGTGTGGTGAAAAAACCTGTAACAAAGTAGGGCTGAACACAGCCRTCCTTTTTTCACCAGCATTATCTTGTTCACTGACTCCTCTGGGATGAGTTGCAGGAGAGCTCTGGAGCAATTTGCTGCTAATCTTCTATGTCTGGAAAATGAAAGCCACCTGCCTGGGCTGCCTGTTATCAAAGGAAATGAGAAAAAATGACTGAGAGAAGGAAGGCTTAGATTAGATATTAAGAAGAAATTCTCCCCTGTGAGGGTGGGGAGGCCCTGGCACAGGGTGCCCAGAGAAGCTGTGGCTGCCCCTGGATCCCTGGCAGTGCCCAAGGCCAGGCTGCACATTGGGGCTGGGAGCAGCCTGGGACAGTGGGAGGTGTCCCTGCCCATGGCAGGGGGTGGCACTGGCTGATCTTTAAGTCCCTTCCAACCCAAACCATTCTATGATGAATTCTCACTGCAAGGTTTTCAGCAGGAACATGAGCTGTCAGGACAGGTTTTGGCACATCCTTGTCAGTCTGTCTGTTCCCTTTCCATGTTTTATAGTTGAGACATTCAGTGACTTGGCCTTCAGTGACATTTTCCTGCATCTGCTCACTGGTAACCTCACCCTGCTGAGYGATGAGTTTGCACTTGAGGAGTTCTGCACCAGCCTCTTCGATGGCTTCTTCCTCACTGCCTGCTCCAGGTAAAGAAGATTTTTCTCACTGAAGACAGGGAGTTTACAAAATGCCTGGGAGAGGTTTTAYTGCTTTGAACAATAGTTTTAATAGTTTACCCAATTCTTCACAGACAGTGAAAATATGAGCCTGATACTGTTTTCCTTTAAGGAAAGGCCTATGTTTTGGGATCAACTTTTTATCAGCAAAACAGTTATGTTTTGATTATGAATTTTTATCTAAACTGTATTTCAGTATCCCTAAGTTGGAGTTGCAAAGGAGAATATACTTCAGGCTTTTGCAATAGTTCTGGATATGTGGCATTGACTTTGGCTTTTTGTAATACCAGTTGCACACAGAAATCTGTTGCTACCTCTGGTCAGTCACTGTGGTTTAGCTGGTGGCCTCCAGACTTATCCAGTCTATAGAAAGCTTCCCCAAAAATGGCTGAAAGTGTTGTTGGGGCATAGCTGCATGTACTGCTGCTGCTTTCTGCACACACTCGAGGGACAAACATCCTCCTGCGTGTGCCTGTCCTACAGAGAGCAGCTGCTGCCACCTCTGTGCTTAAAATCTGCCCCTCCCTCCTCATGGCTGTGCAGGTAATCCACTCCTGTTGAACAATTTCTTGAAGGTCTAAGGCARTGTTAGTGCTTATATTGTTAGCCCTTACAGAAGCTACAATTCTCAGGGGTTTGGAAAATTATCACAAAGTGTGTGGTGAGTGAATTAATATGGTGCTGTTGCTGGAGCTTCCTTGCTCTCAGGATGGTGTTTGTGTATCTTGGTTACTCTGCTTTCAAATGGCTTTTGCAGGAAGGAGAACGTGCACAGACATGTGCTCAGGCTGCTGCTGCATCTGCATCACAAAGTGGCCCCAGCCAAACTAGAATCTCTCCAGAAGGCCTTGGAACCCACCAAGCAGGTAGGAAGGGAAGCAGGAGAAAGGGAAAATGAATGGAAATGAAAGCAGCTGCCTTTCCAGATGTTGTTTAATGGAGCATGTGCTCTRCTTTCCAACTGTACCAAGCTGTGGTTTAATCACCTTTAGCTTAATCACCTTGTAGCTTCCTCTTTCTGTGTTGGTCTGTGTTAGAACACACAGGGTGAGGGCACAGTGGGTGTTCTGGCTGGACTGGAGTGTGACTCTCCTGTTCCTCATTCTTTCTGCAGAGTGGGGAAGCTGTGAAGGAGCTTTACAACCAACTGAGTGAGAAGCTGGAGCTCCGCAAGCCCAGCCCAGCTGAAGTGACTGAGACCCCCTCCATGGAGCTGCCCCTGCCCACCGTGCCCACTCCAGCCTCACGCTGAGCTGTGGCTGCACAGCAGGACTGACAGGAGAGGAACTGACCCTGTGCTGCCTTCTGAGCATCTCTGCCCACATGGTGGAAACAAAAGCCACTGAAGCTCCTTCAGGAAACGCTGCAGTTTGCCTGACTCACTGGCTCGTGCTGGTTAGAAAGCTGTATGCAGTGCATTGCAAGGTTTACTTTTCTTAAAGATAGCTGAGTGTCTTCTTGTAGATCCACTTAAAATCTGACTGTACATTTTTTTTTAAAAAAAAAAAAAAGAAAATGCGTATTTTTAAACTTGGCATCCTGTGTTTTGAAACTGCTCAGTGAGTGTGGTTGAGCAGGTGGTGTGGGCTCTTGAGGCTTTCTTTGGCCTTGGTTTGCCCCTGTGCAGAAGATGCTCAAGAGGAGGAAGAGTCAGAGGAGATGAGCTCCACTGAAAGCATTTCCTGTTGGAGGTTCCAGCTCTTGTGGCACGTGGCAAGATGTGCTGCACTAGTCAGAGATGTCCACTGCTGTCCACAGCCTCTTCTCAAATGGGCTTTTACAAAGAGAGCCATGAAKGAAACCATTTTCTCCACTTTCCTCCCCACTTTCCTCCGAAGAAGTAGCTTGAAGTGAGTCCTGGAGCCAGTTCCAAAGAACAAGGCTGTGATGTTCCTCAGTGACAGTAGGGGTTGAGTGTAGGCAGAGTCAAGTTCAATGTCTGAAAAAATAGAATTATAGAAGTTACCTGGGTTGGAAGGGATCTTTCASATCACCCAGTGCCACCCCCAGCCTTRGGCAGGGACACCTYCCACTGTCCCAGGCTGCTCCCAGCCCCAATGTCCAGCCTGGCCTTGGGCACTGCCAGGGATCCAGGGGCAGCCACAGCTTCTCTGGGCACCCTGTGCCAGGGCCTCCCCACCCTCCCAGGGAACAATTCCTTCCCAATATCCCATCCATCCCTGCCCTCTGGCASTGGGAAGSCATTCCCTGTGTCCTGTCCCTCCATCCCTTGTAAAGAGTCTCTCCATCTTTCCTTCAGGCTCCCTTCAGGYGCTGGAAGGCTGCAATGGGGTCACCCCAAAGCCTCYCCAGGCTGGAAGGTCTGTTCTTTATGGCTCACTCATGTCACTGTTCCTGTTCCAGTTCTGCTTTTGCTGCTGCCTCGGGTGGAGCGTGCAGGGGCTGTTCAGTGCCCAACCACCCTTTGAGGGAAGAACCTTTTCCYGATACCCAACCTAAACCTCTTTCCTTTCCCTCTCCGCCCCCATCAGCCCTTGTATCCTGGGGCTTGAGCCCATTGAGTGCTAAGTCATGCCCAGGAGACTTTCTGTTTCCTGAAGCTGTGTCAAAAGATCCCAAACAAACATTGTAGTTAAATAGAGGTGGAACTCCCTCCCCAGTGCTTCTCCCTCCATTTTTTTGTGGTTTTCTTTCTCCTGAGCTCAGAACTGTGTTAGGGAAGTGACTGTCCCCTCTCTTCATTGCCCTGGTGTTTTTTTCTTTTTTCTCCTTTGGTGCAGGCACTTGTGACACCCTGTGGGAGAACAGGAAAGGTGCAAAACGTTTGGGTTTGTYACAGGTGCACTGTGCTGTAGCCCACATTTCTCTTGTCTCCACTGCAGCTCCTGGGGTCAGTGCTGCCTCTCAGCAGTTCTGACACTGGGTTTGTTGGAAGCAGGGCCTGGGTACAGCAGTTGAGTCCTTCTTGCCAAGTTTTGGTTTCAAACTGTTTAAACTGTTCTGGTAATTTAGACAAAATAACATCCCACAGCTGCTGCCAAACCTTCAGCATTGAACCTGCTCAGGTCTGTGCTTTGCTCAGACTTTGAGGTTATTTCAGGGTTGTTTTGGGGATTCTCTCTGTCGTTTGAGGTTCCCCTTATCCTGAGGCTGATGTGGTGCTCTCTTGCAGCAGAAATTTGTAATCCTGGATGATTTTTTTTTTTTACTGCTTGATAGAAGGGCCTCTTGTGTTTCTGTCTTACCTGCAGTACTGGCGTACACAATGGTGATTTTTCCCAGTTTTTTATGTCCACAAAGAAACCAAATCCCAAAATATGAACTAGCTCTTCCCTGTGCTGGTGACACATTTGGCTGAGGAGGGGAGAGCTGGGCAGCTGAGAGGGAGTGGCTGCCAGTCCGTGCTCTCCTGGCCTGCTGCTGCTGAAAGGTGTGAGAAGACAATTTCCAGAAAACAATGTTAGTAATTAACATCTTCCATGTTTCGAGATGAGAAACGTTTCACTCCTGTGCTGGAAATTACACAGAGTCCTTTTGTACACGTGAGTCTCTGCATGGCAGGAGCTGAGCTGGCTGTGGTGGGGTGCAGGGTCTGGGGTTCTGGGGATCCAGGAGACTGTGGGGTGCAG